TACTGAGGGACACAGAATTGTTACTGAGGGACACAGAATTGTTACTGAGGGACACAGAATTGTTACTCAGGGACACAGAATTGTTACACAGGTTACAGACACAGAATTGTTACTGAGGGACACACAGAATTGTTACTGAGGGCCACAGAATTGTTACTTAGGGACACAGAATTGTTACTCAGGGACACAGAATTGTTACTAGGGACAGACACAGAATTGTTACTCAGGGACACAGAATTGTTACTGAGGGACACAGAATTGTTACTCAGGGACACAGAATTGTTACTGAGGGACACAGAATTGTTACTCAGGGACACAGAATTGTTACTCAGGGACACAGAATTGTTACTCAGGGACAGACACAGAATTGTTACTGAGGGACACAGAATTGTTACTGAGGGGCCACAGAACTGTTACTTAGGGCCACAGAAATTGTTACTCAGGGACACACAGAATTGTTACTCAGGGACAGACACAGAATTGTTACTCAGGGACAGACACAGAATTGTTACTGAGGGACACAGAATTGTTACTCAGGGGACACAGAATTGTTACTGAGGGACACAGAATTGTTACTGAGGGCCACAGAACTGTTACTTAGGGCCACAGAAACGTTACTCAGGGACACAGAATTTGTTACTCAGGGACAGACACAGAATTGTTACTCAGGGACACAGAATCGTTTAATTAAAGAGTATGTCAGACAACATGCAGAGGAGTGGCAGAGGAGGCAATGTTTTAGGAGCGAGCAGACGTGGCAGCAGAGGAGGGGTCGAGGCAGCACTATTCGCAGCCAGAGGCCAGTGCTCCGGTGTCATCCAGCGGTCGTGTCTCCACCGACAACCCTGCCGTCATCGATTGGTTGGCTCGGTCGTCTTCCTCTTCCCAGGTCACCTCTGACACCTACAGCCAACGGTCGGTGGGTACGTCAGACACAACCGTTAGTTGGCATGGCCCGGGAGCAAGCCCACTGAAATCACGTGTCCTCTACCTGCCCCTGTCCTTTGGTGTTCCCTCACCAAGCGAAGTATCGCATGCTGTGGGCTCAGCCCCACTGTACAGTGAGGAAGAGCTAACAGAGGGCGGTCAGGAACGGGGGGAGACATCCGCCTCTTCAGCAGCCAGGCGAAGAAGTAGTGGCGAGGAGAGTGGCTCGGTAGCCGGTCTAGAGACAGGTCTGTCTCCTGACCCACACGCAGCCGAGGGGGCTAGTAGTGAGGCGGAGACCCTAATTGATGATGATGAGGCTGATCGCACTTGGCAGCCTCGTCGTCATCAGGCTATTGCTTCCGCATCATCAGGAGAAGAGGGTGGCAGCTTGGCAGCGAGCAAAACAGTCGGTGGGTTGCCCAGGAGGCAGCAGGGTCGCAGCAGTGTCAGTGGAGGCAAACGGCCACGGAGTACAGCACCAGCTCCACTGCAGCCTACCACCACGGCCAGTAGTGGTGCCGGTGTGCACGGAGGAAGCAGCAGTCAGCCAGTGAGGAGTATCGGGGGCAAAGTTTCCTACTCGGCGGTGTGGCAATTTTTTGTCAAGCCGCCCGAGGAAGTAAACGTAGCCGTATGTCGACTATGTGGCCAGAAAGTCAAGCGTGGCCAGGGGGCCCATGTTGGGACTACAGCGTTGCGGCAGCATATGCAGCGTCGCCATTTGGTGGCCTGGGAAAACCGTGATAAAGATACGGCGGTTCTGCCTGCCCCAGCCCCCGCTCCATCACCCGCTCCGTTACTTGCTCCGTCACCCGACGTCAATCGCCCTCTATCAGCCAGTCAAGGCTCCAACACCTCTGCTGAGGGGAGTTGTCGCTCGTTGGCATCTTCCGCTCGTTCAGATGCTCCTTCTCCTGCTACTCCTCTTCACGGATTCCGTCAGCAGTCTTTCTTGGAATCCGTTTCCAAGAGACAACAGTTTGCGAGCACGCACCCGACGGTGCAAAAGCTGAACGTCCTCCTGTCCAAGTTGCTGGTGCTGCAGTCCCTCCCTTTCCAAGTGGTGGACTCAGCACCTTTCCGAGAAATGATGGCTTGTGCCGCGCGCCGCGGTGGAGAGTGCCAAGCCGTCATTTCTTCGCCAAAAAGGCAGTGCCAGCCCTGCATTCACATGTAGAAGAGATGGTGGGCCAGTCTTTGAGCATGTCGGTCTCTGCCAAAGTGCACGGCAGCGCCGACGTGTGGAGCTGTAACTACGGTCAGGGACAGTACATGTCATTTACGGCCCACTGGGTGAACGTGTGGTGCCGTCACAGCCGCACCAGCAACTTGGACAGGTCACGCCGCTTTTGCCTCCTCCACGTTTGCACGTCCTTGGTCCGGCAAAGATGTCCGCCTCTACCACCTCTTCTTCCGCCGTGTCCTCAGCCGCCACCCCCCCCCGTGCCAAGTCCCATTACCCGACCGGCATATCACATGTGCAGGGCGCAACGGTGTCACCTGTGCTGCACCTGGTATGCCTTGGCGAACGTAGTCACACAGGGGAGGAACTTCTCAGTGTAATGAACAGAGAAATCGACAGATGGCTGTCTCCGCGCAAACTGAAAATCGGAACCATGTTGACCGACAACGGAAAGAACATGGTGTCTGCTCTGCGTCAAGGAAGGTTGTGCCATGCGCCATGCATGGCTCACGTGTGTTCAATCTGGTTGTCAAGCGGTTCCTAAAATCCACCATCCCACTGCAAGACATCCTTAAAATGTCACGTAAACTTTGCATGCATTTCAGCCATTCCTACACCGCAAAGCACACCCTCCTTGAGCTGCAGCGGCAGAACGGAATTCCACAGCATCGCCTGATCTGCGACGTTGCAACAAGGTGGAATTCAACCCTACACATGTTAGACCGCCTTTACGAACAGCGAAAGGCCATCACCGATTTCCTGATGTTACAAGCGGATAAAGGTACTCCCCTGTGTAACTTCGATGTCAGCCATTGGCAGCTCATGCGTGACACCTGCCGCTTGCTCAGGCCCTTTGAGGAGGCCACGCTATTCGTGAGTCGGCAGGACTATGGGATGAACGACGTCATTCCTCTGTTGCACGTCCTGGAACAAATGCTGTTAACAATGGCTGGTCAGGGTGCGGTAGACGTGGCGCACAGATCTCAACGCCACATGACCCCTGTGGGGGCAGGACAGGAAGAAGAGGAGGAGGTAGAGGAGGACATTTGTGCTCAGGAATTATTGAGTGAAATGGGTGGTTTTTCCACTCAGCGGACAGGAGTGGAGGAGCAGGAGCATCTGGTAGAGGAGGAGGAGGAGGAGACAGAGGACCCAGACGCACCGTGGCAGTATGCTGTGGAGATGGAGGCAGGGAGTCCCTCGCATTCCTTGGCACAAATGGCCCATAGCATGCTCGGTTGCTTGCGTAGCGACAGCCGAATAATAACCATCAGACAGAGGGATGACTTTTGGCTGTCCACCTTGTTGGACCCTCGCTACCGTTCAAAAATGGTGGCCTTTTTCACACCTGCTGAGAGGGAGGGAGGCCAAAATAACGTACTATAAAAACCACCTATGTAGTCAGTTGGTCTCTGCCTTTGTGCGCCAACGTCCATCCTCAGACACTGTGGGCCCTGTGCGCGCTCGCGTTCCGCTGCCATGGCAGCAGGGGAGGGGGGGGTGGTAGGAGCAGTGGCAGCTCCACCAGCAGCGGCTGCCTCAGTCTGCAGTCGATGATGAGTAGCTTTCTTCACCAGCGCAGTGAGGAAACTACTAACCAGCCGCAGCAGCAGCAGCATCAGGTGGACCTGGAGCAGGACCTCAAACAACAGGCTTGGGCCTACTTGGACAGCACCCTGCCAACCGAGGTAGACAATCCCCTTGACTACTGGGCAACGAAACTTGACCTTTGGCCCCAACTAGCTGAATTTGCCCTTGAAAGGCTGTCATGCCCGGCCAGTAGCGTGGCATCGGAGCGCGTGTTTAGTGCGGCAGGAGGTATTGTAACTCCGCGGAGGACACGACTGTCCACCCAAAGTGTGGAGAGACTCACGTTTGTGAAAATGAATCAGGCGTGGATTAGTCTGGATTTCAAACCACCAGTTCCTGACACAACTGACTAAATCCGCCATGAATCATGCCCCTGCCATGTGCCACTTTCAGGTCTCCTCACACTGCTGGTGTGTTCCATTTTTTGTCATAGGGTGCTGGCAGATTACGGGCCTCCCATAGCTGCTGCCAGGCCCCTAATCTGCCATGGGCCCCTATACCGCCTCCTCATGCTGCTGCCAGGTCCAGAGTCTCTCATGGGTCCCTGTACGGCCTCCCATTGCTGCTGTCTCCATCGCCACACTCTGCCATGTGCCACTTTCAGGTCTCCTCACACACTGCTGGTGTGTTCCAATTTTTTGTCATAGGGTGCTGGCAGATTACGGGCCTCCCATTGCTGCTGCCAGGCCCCTAATCTGCCATGGGCCCCTGTACCGCCTCCTCATGCTGCTGTCCAAGTCCACATGTGTGTACGGCCTCCCCTCTCATCCATCGCCACACTCTGCCATGTGCCACTTTCAGGTCTCTCCTCACACTGCTGGTGTGTTCCATTTTTTGTCATAGGGTGCTGGCAGATTACGGGCCTCCCATAGCTGCTGCCAGGCCCCTAATCTGCCATGGGCCCCTGTACCGCCTCCTCATGCTGCTGCCAAGTCCAGAGTCTCTCATGGGTCCCTGTACGGCCTCCCATTGCTGCTGTCTCCATCGCCACACTCTGCCATGTGCCACTTTCAGGTCTCCTCACACACTGCTGGTGTGTTCCATTTTTTGACATAGGGTGCTGGCAGATTACGGGCCTCCCATAGCTGCTGCCAGGCCCCTAATCTGCCATGGGCCCCTGTACCGCCTCCTCATGCTGCTGCCAGGTCCACAGTGTCTCATGCCTCCCCATGTGCCACTTTCAGGTCTCCTCACACTGCTGGTGTGTTCCATTTTTTGTCATAGGGTGCTGGCAGATTACGGGCCTCCATAGCTGCTGCCAGGCCCCTAATCTGCCATGGGCCCCTATACCGCCTCCTCATGCTGCTGCCAGGTCCAGAGTCTCTCATGGGTCCCTGTACGGCCTCCCATTGCTGCTGTCTCCATCGCCACACTCTGCCATGTGCCACTTTCAGGTCTCCTCACACACTGCTGGTGTGTTACATTTTTTGTCATAGGGTGCTGGCAGATTACGGGCCTCCCATAGCTGCTGCCAGGCCCCTAATCTGCCATGGGCCCCTGTACCGCCTCCTCATGCTGCTGCCAGGTCCACAGTGTCTCATGCCATGTGCCACTTTCAGGTCTCCTCACAGTGCTGCTGGTGTGTTCCATTTTTTGTCATAGGGTGCTGGCAGATTACGGGCCTCCCATAGCTGCTGCTGCCAGGCCCCTAATCTGCCATGGGCCCCTATACCGCCTCCTCATGCTGCTGCCAGGTCCAGAGTCTCTCATGGGTCCCTGTACGGCGTCCCATTGCTGCTGTCTCCATCGCCACACTCTGCCATGTGCCACTTTCAGGTCTCCTCACACACTGCTGGTGTGTTCAATTTTTTGACATAGGGTGCTGGCAGATTACGGGCCTCCCATAGCTGCTGCCAGGCCCCTAATCTGCCATGGGCCCCTGTACCGCCTCCTCATGCTGCTGCCAGGTCCAGAGTCTCTCATGGGTCCCTGTACGGCGTCCCATTGCTGCTGTCTCCATCGCCACACTCTGCCATGTGCCACTTTCAGATCTCCTCACACTGCTGGTGTGTTACATTTTTTGTCATAGGGTGCTGGCAGATTACGCGCCTCCCATTGCTGCTGCCAGCCCGTAATCTGCCATGGGCCCCCCTACCGACGCCTCCTCATGCTGTGACGTTGCAACAAGGTGGAATTCAACCCTACATATGTTAGACCGCCTTTACGAACAGCGAAAGGCCATCACAGATTTCCTGATGTTACAAGCGGATATAAAGGTACTCCCTGTGTAACTTAGATGTCAGCCATTGGCAGCTCATGCGTGACACCTGCCGCTTGCTCAGGCCCTTTGAGGAGGCCACGCTATTCGTGTGTCGGCAGGACTATGGGATGAAACGACGTCATTCCTCTGTTGCACGTCCTGGAACAAATGCTGCTAACAATGGCTGGTCAGGGTGCGGTAGACGTGGCGCACAGATCTCAACGCCACATGACCCCTGTGGGGCAGGACAGGAAGAAGAGAGGAGGTAGAGGAGGACATTGTGCTCAGGAATTATTGAGTGAAATGGGTGGTTTTTCCACTCAGCGACAGGAGTGGAGGAGCAGCATCTGGTAGAGGAGGAGGAGGAGGAGACAGAGGACCCAGACGCACCGTGGCAGTATGGGTGGAGATGGAGGCAGGGAGTCCCCTCGCATTCCTTGGCACAAATGGCCCATAGCATGCTCGGTTGCTTGCTAGCGACAGCCGAATAATAACCATGGGCCACAGACAGAGGGATGACTTTTGGCTGTCCACCTTGTTGGACCCCCCTCGCTACCGTTCAAAAATGGTGGCCTTTTTCACACCTGCTGAGAGGGAGGCCAAAATAACGTACTATAAAAACCACCTAGCTGTAGTCAGCTGGTCTCTGCCTTTCTGCGCCAACGTCCATCCCAGACACTGTGGGCCCTGTGCGCTCTGCGTCCGCTGCCATGGCAGCAGGGGATTTGGGGTGGGTGGTATCGAGCCAGTGGCAGCTCCATGTGCCACCAGCAGGTCTGCCTCAGTCACTGCAGTCGATGATGTTAGCTTTTCTTCACCAGCCGCAGTGAGGAAACTACTAACCAGCCTCCCAGCAGCAGCCAGCCATCAGTAACCTGGCCATGGACCTCAAACAACAGGCTTAGGCCTACTTGGACAGCACCCTCCCAACCGAGGTAGACAATCCCCTTGACTACGGGCAATGAAACTTGACCTTTGGCCCCACACTAGCTGAATTTGCCCTTGAAAGGCTGTCATGCCCTGCCAGTAGCGTGGCATCAGAGCGCGTGTTTATTGCGGCAGGAGGTATTGTAACTCCGCAGGACACGACTGTCCTCCCAAAGCTGTGGAGAGACTCACGTTTGTGAAAATGAATCTGGCGTGGATTAGTCCTGGATTTCAAACCACCATTCCTGACACAACTGACTAAATCCGCCATGCCACATGCCCCAAACATGTGCCACTTTCAGGTCTCCTCACACTGCTGGTGTGTTCCATTTTTTGTCATAGGGTGCTGGCAGATTACAGGCCTCCCATTGCTGCTGCCAGGCCCGTAATCTGCCATGGGCCCCTGTACCCGCCTCCTCATGCTGCTGCCAGGTCCAGAGTCTGTCATGGGTCCCCTGTACGCCTCCCATTGCTGCTGTCTCCATCGCCACACTCTGCCATGCCATGTGCCACTTTCAGGTCTCCTCACACACTGCTGGTGTGTTCCATTTTTTGTCATAGGGTGCTGGCAGATTACGGGCCTCCCATAGCTGCTGCCAGGCCCCTAATCTGCCATGGGCCCCTGTACCGCCTCCTCATGCTGCTGCCAAGTCCACAGTGTCTCATGCCATGTGCCACTTTCAGGTCTCCTCACACTGCTGTTGTGTTTCCATTTTTTGTCATAGGGTACTGGCAGATTACGGGCCTCCCATTGCTGCTGCCAGGCCCTAATCTGCCATGGGCCCCTGTACCGCCTCCTCATCTGCTGCCAGGTCCAGAGTCTCTCATGGGTCCCTGTACGGCCTCCCATTGCTGCTGTCTCCATCGCCACACTCTGCCATGTGCCACTTTCAGGTCTCCTCACACACTGCTGGTGTGTTTCCATTTTTTGTCATAGGGTGCTGGCAGATTACGGGCCTCCCATAGCTGCTGCCAGGCCCCTAATCTGCCATGGTCCCCTGTACCGCCTCCTCATGCTACTGCCAGGTCCACAGTGTCTCATGCCATGTGCCACTTTCAGGTCTCCTCACACTGCTGGTGTGTTCCATTTTTTGTCATAGGGTGCTGGCAGATTATGGCCTCCCATTGCTGCAGCCAGGCCCGTAATCTGCCATGGGCCCCTGTACCGCCTCTTCATGCTGCTGCCAGGTCCCAGAGTGTGTCATGGGTCCCTGTACGGCCTCCCATTGCTGCTGCCAGGAGCAGCAGGGTCGCAGCAGTGTCAGTGGAGGCAAACGGCCACGGAGTAGAGCACCAGCTCCACTGCAGCCTACCACCACGGCCATTAGTGGTGCCGGTGTGCACGGAGGAAGTAGCAGTCAGCCAGTGAGGAGTAGCGGGGGCAAAGTTTCCTACTCGGCGGTGTGGCAATTTTTCGTCAAGCCGCCCGAGGAAGTAAACGTAGCCGTATGTCGACTATGTGGCCAGAAAGTCAAGCGTGGCCAGGGGGCCCATGTTGGGACTACAGCGTTGCGTCAGCATATGCAGCGTCGCCATTCGGTGGCCTGGGAAAACCGTGATAAAGATACGGCGGTTCTGCCTGCCCCAGCCCAGGGTTCCATTTTGTCATAGGGTGCTGGCAGATTACGGGCCTCCCATTGCTGCTGCCAGGCCTTAATCTGCCATGGGCCCCTGTATCCCCCGCCTCCTCATGCTGCTGCCAGGTCCACAGTGTCTCATGGATCCCTGAACCGCCTCCCATTGCTGCTGTCTCCATCGCCACACTCTGCCATGTGCCACTTTCAGGTCTCCTCACACTGCTGGTGTGTTACATTTTTTGTCATAGGGTGCTGGCAGATTACGGGCCTCCCATAGCTGCTGCCAGGCCCCTAATCTGCCATGGGGCCCCTGTACCGCCTCCTCATGCTGCTGCCAGGTCCACAGTGTCTCATGCCATGTGCCACTTTCAGGTCTCCTCACAGTGCTGGTGTGTTCCATTTTTTTGTCATAGGGTGCTGGCAGATTACGGGCCTCCCCATAGCTGCTGCCAGGCCCCTAATCTGCCATGGGCCCCTATAATACCGCCTCCTCATCATGCTGCTGCCAGGTCCAGAGTCTCTCATGGGTCCCTGTACGGCGTCCCATTGCTGCTGTCTCCATCGCCACACTCTGCCATGTGCCACTTTCAGGTCTCCTCACACACTGCTGGTGTGTTCAATTTTTTGTCATAGGGTGCTGGCAGATTACGGGCCTCCCATTGCTGCTGCCAGGCCCGTAATCTGCCATGGGCCCCAGTACACCCGCCCTCCTCATGCTGCTGCCAGGTCCACAGTCTCTCATGGGTCCCTGTACGGCCTCCCATTGCTGCTGTCTCCATCGCCACACTCTGCCATGTGCCACTTTCAGGTCTCCTCACACTGCTGGTGTGTTACATTTTTTGTCATAGGGTGCTGGCAGATTACGGGCCTCCCATTTCTGCTGCCAGGCCCGTAATCTGCCATGGGCCCCAGTACCGCCTCCTCATGCTGCTGCCAGTCCACAGTCTCTCATGGGTCCCTGTACGGCCTCCCATTGCTGCTGTCTCCATCGCCACACTCTGCCATGTGCCACTTTCAGGTCTCCTCAGACTGCTGGTGGGTTCCATTTTTTGTCATAGGGTGCTGGCAGATTACGGGCCTCCCATAGCTGCTGCCAGGCCCCTAATCTGCCATGGGCCCCTGTACCACCTCCTCATGCTGCTGCCAGGTCCAGAGTCTCTCATGGGTCCCTGTACGGCCTCCCATTGCTGCTGTCTCCATCGCCACACTCTGCCATGTGCCACTTTCAGGTCTCCTCACACACTGCTGGTGTGTTCCATTTTTTGTCATAGGGTGCTGGCAGATTACGGGCCTCCCATTGCTGCTGCCAGGCCCGTAATCTGCCATGGGCCCCCGTACCGACTCCTCATGCTGCTGCCAGGCCCGTAATCTGTCATGGGCCCCTGTTGTCGCTTGTTGGCATATTCCGCTCGTTCAGATGCTCCTTCTCCTGCTACTTCTCTTCACGGATTCCGTCAGCAGTCTTTCTTGGAATCCGTTTCCAAGAGACAACAGTTTGCGAGCACGCACCCGACGGTGCAGAAGCTGAACGTCCTCCTGTCCAAGTTGCTGCTGCCAGGCTCGTAATCTGTCATGCGCCCCTGTACCGCCTCCTCATGCTGCTGCCAGGTCCAGAGTGTGTCATGGGCCCCCGTACCGACTCCTCATGCTGCTGCCAGGCCCGTAATCTGTCATGGGCCCCTGTACCGCCTCCTCATGCTGCTGCCAGGTCCAGAGTGTGTCATGGGTCCCTGTACGGCCTCCCATTGCTGCTGCCAGGCCCGTAATCTGCCATGGGCCCCCGTACCAACTCCTCATGCTGCTGCCAGGCCCGTAATCTGTCATGGGCCCCTGTACCGCCTCCTCATGCTGCTGCCAGGTCCAGAGTGTGTCATGGGTCCCTGTACGGCCTCCCATTGCTGCTGTTCTCTATCGCCACACTCTGCCATGTGCCACTTTCAGGTCTCCTCACACTGCTGGTGGTTTCCATTTTTTGTCATAGGGTGCTGTATGGCCTCCCATTGCTGCTGCCTCCACCGCCACACTGTGGCTCCACACTCTGGTTTTGGCCCCGTGACTGCCCAAATGAGTGAAGTGTGCTGTGATTCTAAGATCGACGGCAACTCATCTGCATGTCATACTGACTGTCAGTATTATTTCTCTTCCCCAGCAGACTCCAAGGGCATTTAAATTAAAGGTACAGTGTTCTGCACTAATATAAAGGCTCTCTGAAGCCTAGAAACACCCTTTTATAAGTTAAATTCGCAGCGAATATATTCGACTCGAATCAAAATTTTTCCACGAATTCGCCGAATCAGTCGAATCGAATTTTTGAATATTTCGCTCATCTCTAGAAGTGACTCATAGTGATAGCAGAGGAATGCTGCATGAAACAGAAATGAATTTCTATTTCTGAGATTTACAACCACTTTAACAAGTGGTTTTCAACCAATCTAATAAAGAATAAAGAAGAATAGATACTAAGTGGTTGTACTAATGATTGGCCCCAGTGCATCCCAGAGTACAATAATACAAAGCTTTTCTGTGGGTTTTTAAAGTGCATGTTAAAGCATTTTTTTTTTAGTTTTGGATAGAGTGTGGAAGGATTATACCCACTGTCATCTTTTTGTTGATGGACACATGTTTCTATGCCAACTCTCTCATGGGAATTTAATTCATTTTAGAGAGATTGCTTCTTGTGTCTTCTGGCACCTCCAGTGGGGAGGTGAGGGGAGGTCTCCCCAGGGGTACACAGCAAAAACTACTCTATCCAAGGCTAAAATAAAAAATTACATACACTTTAAGGCTTCACATTGCACTCTTGAATTCACTAGGGAGTGTCTTCAGAGTCAACTCTCATACATTAAAATTTGCATACTGTAAGGTACCTGAGGTTTGGGGCTCCCAGGGTACCCTGCAGCAAGAGATTTACAGTTAATTACCACTGCTATGCATTAGAAGCTATCTTTTGTTCAACTGTGAGCTTGCTTTTAGTAGTTCAACAAAGCAACAGGTATACTTTGAAGAGGTGGTTCTACAGTTCATACTGTAATCAGAGGGGTGCAAAGTTATGATTACAGCAGAGATATGTCATATAACAGACAAGAAGATTATCCATTATTCTATGGCAGAATCATGAGCTGAAACAGATACTTTTGGTTTGAGTGGGGTCACTGCATTAGAGATAAAAGAAAGAATCAAATCTCGCTTGAGCCTCTCTACGAAAAAAAAAAAAAAAAATCCTCCTGTTAAAGTAAAAAGGTGAATGTGTTTCTCTCTGTTCAATAAAAAATGTTATACAATGTACTGTTGTCTAACAGAAGGTGAAAGACTTTCTCCTCTGTTGAACGTTCAGAAGAAACAAATGAGGAGCTAGTGCTGGTGTAAATATAGTTTCTGTATTTCTGCCTTGCAACATATATTTACCCTGACACATGTATTGCTTGTCGTGTCTAACATATGCTTTATATCAAGGGTGCTCAGCCTGTGGCCCTCGGACTCCTCTTATTTGGCCCTCGATCTTAATCCAGGGAAGTGCATGCCCGGGGTCAGCAACTCCTTGATAGTGATCTGGGCTTGCTGACCCACCATCCCAGAGCATAGGAGTGCATCAAGCTACCTGTCACATTCTTTATTACACTTTGACATCAGGGGTGACATATACAGGACCCAGTCCTGTCCATTTTCAATGCGCAACCGCTGAAAGCCGACTTCTCCTATTCTCCCTCCCACTGGCATTCAGCGGCTGCAGGAGGAAAATGTTCACTAAGCTATTCAAAAGGAAAAATTCAAAATTGGGAACCATTTAATTTCATTGTGGCCCATGACATTGTGGCCACAAATCACTGAAGTGGCCCTTGCTCTTCAAAAGGTTGAACACTTCTGCTTTATATTGAAAGAAATTAAAATATAAAATTTAATCTTTGAAGATGCCCCATGGATTCAATAAAAGGGTGGTCGAAAGTACATGCTTACTATTTGCCAGTGCTGGTAAAAGGGTGCAGGTAGGATTAATGCTCCATTTATACTGATTACAAATTAAATTCAGGAAAAATACTCAGATTTTTCCCATAAATCTAGGCTTCAGATATACTTGTAAATATACATATGAAACAGTTTTACCTGCCAAAGGATTTGTATATGAGATTTGCACAGCTCTGCTACATATCACAGTCTTGTCTAGACCTGACCTTATTTGCTGCAGTTTCACTTTCACTTACATTGAATCTCTGATTGCATTATTTGCTCCCGATGTATCCAAATAGCTCTCTTGGAGAGGTTCCAGAAGAGTGCTGGATGTTTATAAGCAGCCAGTGCTCATACGAATCTAGTATTAAATTAGCTTTGTACTACTATTAAAATGTATGTAAACCCTTAATGAAACTATAATATATTGCAGATTACCAATCCTTATGTGTGGTGGTTGCATTAGTTTTCTTTTTCAGGTATATGGATCTGCTGCCCTTTAATGTTTCATCTGTAATTATATATTAGCACTTGTTTCTGGGAGGCTTGCTTTAAAAAAACACCAGAAGGAGGAAGTGGAGAGAGAATTGAGCTGACACCACATGCCCATATACAGGAGCTGCATTACTGTAATAATGTATTTTTCCAGACCAGAAGCAGAGACTATTAGGTAATTGTCCCCATAGTCTAGCTGTTTAACTTTGCTAATAACTTTTTGATCTGAATCCTAGTGACAGACAAATCTCTGTTGTATTGTTATTATCTCACATTCAGTGACAGATATCTAGGTCTGTGCTACTGTATTTATGTGTAATCACCTTCCGGTACATCGGTAGGTGAACCTCTTTATTGCAGCTCCTGCTATATTAGTCAACCCTGTCCCTTCTGGTCTGAGATTATATAGCTAGTTTTAGTTTAGGATTTGAAAACTAGCATAAGTTGGAACCGGGTTTGGCATTCGATGGACACTTTTGGTAGTTAGAGGTCCAGTTGCATGTCAGATTGGAAACTACTAGGAGAGACCAAAGCACAGAGTAAATAGGATGACTCTGAGTTCCAGTGACACACCACAGTTTCTGTGTGTGAGAAGCTGCATTCCAAACTGGTTGGACAAAGGTTGTAGGATCTCCCATAACGTGTCTTCAGGTCTCTGACACAAGACAAACACTGCATTGGGATCATCTTCAGGGGCCCCTGCAACTGGATTTTGCTGTAATATTCATACAGTATATATATACTCAGGTACAGTATATGTGCACAATTCCACTAGGAATCTTTTTGGGCCCTTCGTTGATAAT